GCAACATAGTAGACATTCAACAAATATTTGTTGTATGAAGGAGCCATAAGCTAATGTGGACCATAAAACTCATTGCCACTGCTAAATCACAATTAGAGGGCAGCTGTTAGAATCTGAGTCCCAAACCCAGTAAGTCCTGCATTGCAAGGAGCTGTCGAATAGAAAACAGGAATAAAAACTGAAATAGCAAGAATAATTATGAAATCAGTTGCTTAACTCCAGGCAGTGGAGGCAGAAAAATAGTAAATACTCTTCGTGAACAAGTGCAGACAAGAATCCCGTGACTGCCAATAAGTAATCAGTCTGGAAAGACCAGAGAGGGGTCAAATATAGGTAAACTGAGTTAAGCACATAAACTGCTCAATCATCACAATTTTAAAAGATCACACACAAAATACATGAACAGGAGAAACAGATTAGTAAAACAAGACAAAACAGTAAAATTACTTTCTTTTACTACTGATGGGTCAATTTTCTACTGGAAATTCTGAAAACTATCAGGTTCAGCTAGACTGCAGTGTTGATCATCTCTCCAGTTTTCCTAGTCCAAAATGAATTAAGTAGACCTGGTACTTAAAGACAGTTTAAGAAAGGGCTGGCCACAGAGAAGTAGGATCCACCTAGCCCCAGTGAGTGAGGCCATCCCGACACATCGTATGCCCCGGTGTAAATATTCTGGAAAACTGCCTCCTGGCTCAATGACCTGCATAGAGCCGCGCGACCTCCAAAGCGTAGCACCCGCGACCAGCCCCGCAGAACCGACTCAAAGCCGCGCAAAGCTAGAGAGTAGTTGTCCCGCGGGGGCTTGAGCTCTAACTCAGCCAGCCAATGGCCACGGAGCTAGGGCGGAACCTGAGGATATCCTACCAATGGGAGTGCGGCAGGGTTGCAGTGAGTGCCCGGGTCTCAAGGCTGCGGTAGAGTTCGCAGCACCAGCCCCGGCCGATGTGGAAACTTTGGAGAGCTGAAGAGGGAGCGGCGGCGCTCGGCGGCGCGCTCTTCCTGCTGCTCTTCGCGCTGGGGGTCCGCCAGCTCCTGAAGCAGAGGCGGCCGATGGGCTTCCCTCCGGGGCCGCCGGGGCTGCCATTTATCGGCAACATCTATTCCCTGGCCACCTCGGCGGAGCTTCCCCATGTCTACATGAGAAAGCAGAGCCAGGTGTACGGAGAGGTACAGTCCCGACGGGACCCGGGCAGGGAGGGCCGCCCCGCCAGGCTGGCCAGGGCTGGCTGGGGCCTTCCTGGTTAGACTTACGGCCTCTCCTGACCCGAGTAGCCAGGAACTCTCCGTGTGCCGGCTGCCGTTTGAGGAAAACCCACTTCCCGGGTCTGGGAGGGAGAAGTCCGCGACGCCGTGCCCCCTGGGACGGAAGTCCCGCCCCTGCCGGTGCCCCACTCCAGGCCAAGGCCCCAAGGCGATCCAGGCCTGATTTTCCCGCCAGCGCTCGAGCTCTCGCTTTTGCGCCTGCGCCGTTTGGCTCGCCGGCGGCGGCGCCGCAGCTTCAGGTGCAGGACTGATGCCGGCCCTCAGGCGCGGGCGGCTTGCGAGTTGGCCTTGCAGCTCTGTGGAAGCTGCACGCGGCCTGTCGGAAAATCAAGGTCTACTGAGTTCTAGATGGTTAATAAAAGGTTCTTCGGTGTTAGCAGTCGATGACCGACTGGTGTAGGCGTTTGCTGTGGGGATGGAGAACGCAGGGGAACACCCCTGACTGAGAAGCGGGGCCTGGGAATTGCTTGTGAACGTGTGAATGAATTGATGACTAAAATCCGCTGCGGGGGTCCTGCAGCACAGACGCCAGTGCCGTTCTGACTGGCTGGGAACGCCCCCTTAGCAGATGCTTAAAAGGGGCCTGCTGTGTGCCACTGTCACTGCCAACTTGGTGTCTCATTTAAAACTCAAAACCAGCCGGTGAGGTCGGTACTTCGCTCCTCCCCATTCTACGGAGGAGAAAGCAGCACGGAAATGCCCAGTGACTGGCAGAGGAAAAGGCGACCCCCGCTTAGTTGTGGGTGTGCCGACGTCTGGAGAGGGCAGCAGTTTCCAAGGGTCCTGGCCAGAGCGCCCCTATTTTGTTTTGAATTACACTTATTTATATGCAACTACAGGCCAGGCCCCTGCCGGAGTTTCTCAGCATGTGCTGTGTGGTTCACAGTAGAGAGAAAAAGAGTGCCCCAAGAAAGATATCATGTAGTATGGTCCCTAAAGACTTGGTATGGTTAGGATAGTATGGCAGTTAAGGGATGCATTCCAAATGAGGAAACAAACCAAGCAAAGGTAGAAAAGTGTGGCAGTCATTTAATGGTTTTCATCAACAGCACTTTGCACATTTGTCTGTTATTAGCACTTAGACCGTGATGTTATAATATGCTTAAATGTATGTATCCACAACTATTAATTAATTCAACATATATTTCTATTGTCATGTGCTGTGCACTGTCGTAAGTGCTAGAGATGTAGCAGTGACCAAAACAGATTCCTGCCCTTATGTACCTTACATTCTAGTGGGAGGATGATAGACAAAATGTAAACACAATTAAGTAAATTATATAATATGTTCGAAGAGTACAGAGTAGGAAGTAACTAAATTAGGATAAAGGAATGGAGAATGCTGGGGGGGGAGGGTCAGATTTTAAATTGGTTAATCAGAACCGGCCTTGCCACAAAGATAGCATCTGAACAAAGAGTTAAAGGAAATGAAGGAGCAAGCTATGGGAATATCAAAAGGAAGAACATTCTAGACTAAGAGAAGAGCAAGAAGAAAGGTCATGAAGCAAGAGAATGCCATGTTGAGAATTACATGTAAAAAGACAAGGGTGAAATTAGGGAAACTAGTTAGAAAGTTGTGGTTATAACGTAAGGGAGAAATGCAGGTGACTTAGACCAGTCACCTGCAGGTTATAAGAAATAGTCTGATTAGAAACAGACTATAGAAACAACATGGCTGCTGAGCAGTTGGATGTGGAGTTTGGAAGAAAATGATGAGTCAGTGTGGGTGACTGCAAAGTTTTGGGCCTCAACAACTTGAAGGATGTATGGAGTGGTCATTAATTGGGAGAGTGAAAAATTATGGGTAGGGCTGGTTTGGGCGAGGGAAAGAGACATGAAGATCATGGAGTGATCTAGAAGAGGGCAAGGAAAATGTTTTGTGTATTCCTGTTTACATCTCTACTAGCATTATAATTAGCCCATAATTGGCACTAAAAATTATTAAATAAATCAAAGAATATATAAGCTAATCTTGGATAGATCAAAGCTAATCTTCCATAGATCGAAGCAGTTTAAGTTTTCACAATTTGATTTACAAACCTTTACCAAAAGTCCTTGAAAACCATGTATACAGAAATAGATACTAGTTCAAGTAAAAATTTCTCCAGTTCTACCCTCAAATAGAGGACCATCTCAGATTCTTGAGTAAAGGTGGATTGTGTAACAGCTTTCTCAAACCATGGCTCCTCCTTGACTTTTGTAATCCCTGGTGTCCACAGCTTGAAGCTCTATCCTGAAGCTCTGTTCTGAAATACATTTGCCCTCTGTTCTGCCTTCATAGTGATACAACTTTAAGTTCATGACTCTTTTACTATTGTTGTAAAATCCCATCTTTTTATTGTCTCTGCTAAAGTTTACTTCTGCAAACAGACTTTCCTTTAATAAGACTACATTACTGCTTTGTCCCCACTTTGCTCGGCTAGTAGCCATTCCCTTTTACTTAGAACTCTTCCATTGTCACTTTTGACTAATACCACTGCTTATGGCAGGCAGTCCCTGTTCTTTTCCCAAGGTTTTGGATATACCTACTGCTCAGTTGGCAGGGCCCACCCTTGGGCCAAAGACTCTGGTGGCCCCATTACTCAGCTGGTTGGTTGTTACCACTTGGCAGACCTCATGACCTTTGCTGATATAACTTTCTACTGAACTTCCTTCACTGGACTAGGCCCTTATATTGGGTTAGCTAGAATAGACTGCAGGAGGTGTGAAATTGTAAGTGAGCCTGAGGTGAGGCACAGGGCAGACAACTCCAGCAAGGCATGGAATGGATCCTGTTTGCCTTCCCCTTAACTGAGAGGCAGCCACCTAGCCTTTGTGGTAAATGCCTTTCCTCCAAGGTCAGGTTCCCTTAGGGCCCTCTCCATTAACTTTGTGGAACGAGAGCCAAATACAAATGGGCTTAGTTACAATATGTTTATACTTCAAAGTTGTCTCTCAGGTCTTTGACAATCCTCTCCCTCACTAGCCTCATTCATCTTGTAAATAAAAGGAGATTCCTAGATATCATTGAACAGTTTGGGATGGAATGAATCATAAAAGAGAGGTATATCAAATATATTTTCTTTGGCAATACTGAAGCCCAAATAGGTTAAGTGTTCTGCCCAGAGTCTCTTCTCTGTTTAATGTCAAACCTTAAACTAGACTCAGGCCTCCTGAGTCCAATACCCTTTTCATTATACTGTTGGTAAGATTGTGACTTCAGGCACTGAATGCATAATGAAATCACAATTTTACATGTCTTGTAGAAGGAGGATACTCTGAACATTGTCAGTTGAGTAATAACTGCTTACATTTTCAGGGACCTAACAAATCCTGGAAGAGCTGCACTTACCACTTGTAGATTTTCATGGTTATATTTCTCAATATATTCTGCCATTTAAATGTTGTTTTTCTTTTCCTCTTCTTAAAAGATCTTCAGTTTAGATCTTGGAGGCATATCAACTGTGGTTCTAAATGGCTATGATATAGTTAAGGAATGCCTTGTTCATCAAAGTGAAATTTTTGCAGACAGACCATGCCTTCCTTTATTCATGAAGATGACAAAAATGGGAGGTATGTTTATTTTCACCGATTTAGTGATTTACTAAGTTATTTTAAATCACATTTCTTATTTTAAGTTTTAGTACATAGAGTTGGATTATTTTGTACTGATTAACAAGAAACTATTTACTTATAGAACCTAGTATTTGAGGACCTTTCAGGCTGAACTACATTCATATTTTAGACTAGTACATTGCTAATTCTATTGATGTCAGCTCTAATAAGTACTATAAATAATGTTTTAAAGAATCAGCACCTAATAACATCAGGTTTTGTGAAATAAGTTAGGAATAAACGCACACTTGGACTTGAATCAGAAGTGCCCTTTTGAACCCATCTTGAGTACTTGATGATATTTTTACGCACCTAATAACATCAGGTTTTGTGAAATAAGTTAGGAATAAACACACACTTGGACTTGAATCAGAAGTGCCCTTTTGAACCCATCTTGAGTACTTGATGATATTTTTACTATCATTTTACTTATAAGATTACAGAACTTGAAGCAGCTTTCTTGACTGCTAAGCACTGTGATTAGTAAGCACAGAGTTGCACAGTTTGTGTAAAGGACTAGCATTCTATATTGTTTAGTGTTGATCAGTGTTGGAGATTCCATATTCAACAAGGGGGAAAGACTGCAAGTTGACAAAATTGGTAAGAAGAAAGCAGCAACAGACCCCCTAAAATGGAATTTTCAAATCACATACAGTGGTTTTAATAGTTAATAGTATAAGAATTTTTACTAAAGTGGTATCCCAAATTCTCTAATGTGAGTTTCACATTTAATTTCAAAGAAAAATTTAATATCTTGCTTACATGGGCTAAAAATAAAGACATTGGTTAAAAAGACAAAAATAAAAATCCTATATTATATCACAAAGCAAATCAACTAATACAGAGAAAACACCAATTGTAAAACTGAATTCTCAGGCCATTATAATTTTAATTTTATAATTATATCATTATAATTTTCAAGTATAATGATACTTGAAAACAGTAACATAAATTAAAAAACAAACCTCTAACCTCTTAAATGCTCTTCTAAATAACAATTAGACCAAAGAAGAAGCCACAATTATAGAAGACCTTTAAAAAGATGATGCAAATGAAAGATAAGTAATATTTGAGACAAAGTATATATTTTTCAAAGCTGTAAATTTATTGTTTAGACTATTTTTATCATAAAGATAAAGCATTCAACTTAAGATTTTTTAAGCAGAACATTATGTGTGTTGTTTTAAGGTACTATGTACTGACCTCGGAAGTAGAAAATCATGGCCACTATTAAGCCCACTGTGTGAATGGAAAAATGTTGCCCTTTGGGTAGATCCAGCCTCATGCCCAGGCAACAGCTTGGCCAGTGTAGGGTTATAATAAACAGTGCTCCTCTGTATCTTCTTGTTTATATACCCCATGTGCACGTATTTCTCTAGGGCTGGTTTCATCTTAGCACCATTGCACTAGCTGTTCCCTCTAACTCCAGTGGTCTTTCCTCAGGTATTTCCTTGTTTTACTCCGTCATCTCCTGTGAGTCTTTACTTAGATGTCATCTTCTCAGTGAGGCTTTTGCTGACTACCCTATATCTTTTTACTTGCTATATAATTTATTTGTTATTTTGTCTGTCTCTCCTATCAGTGTGTAAGCTCTGAGAAAGTAGGAATCTTTGCTTCTTTTGTTTCCTGATATATTTCTGACACTTAGAACATTGTCTGGAACATATTGGGTGTTCCACAAAAACATGTTACATGAATATTTGTTGAATGAATAGTCATCTGGGAGTATAGAAAAAGAAGGGACTATGGGAATGTAAGATTGCTACATAGCACTAATGACTTCCTTACATATGATAACTTTTTAATAAGCTCTAGATTCAAAAACTATTGTACAAAGTTGTTAGAATATAAATTTTGTATGCACCTTATGTACACAAGAGATTGTAACATTTTTCATTTTGGGTTGTATTAGTCCATTTTGTGTTCCTATAAAAAAAATACCAGAGGCTGGGTAACCTGTAAAGGATAGAGATTTAATTGGCTCATGGTTCTGCATGCCTTATAGGAAGCGTGGTGCTGGCATCTGCTTCTGCTGAGGTCATCTGCTTCTTCTGAAGCTCATAATCATGGCAAAAGGCATTGGGGAAAGCCAGCATGTCATATGGCAAGAGTGGGAGCAAGAGAGTGAGTAGCAGGAGGACCTAAACCTTTTAACAACCAGATCTCGCATTAGCTAACTGAGTGGGAACTCATTTATTACCAAGGGGATGTTTTAAGACCATTAATAAGGGATCTGCCCCTATGATCCAATCTGTTCCCACCAGGCCTCACCTCCAACATTGAGAATCATATATTAATGTGAGATTTATCATAGATAGCCAGTAATGAGTGAAATTTTGAGTAAAGTATATATTACATAAATATGTGCACTGAAGATGTTGAATTAATTTAAGGGGGAAATTTTCCATAGTAGCCACATCAAAACAGCAGATATACTGTGAAGACTCTGAAATTTTAAGGTAGGCAATATCAGCATTAGAAAAGTTTGAGCTTCATTTTGTCCTTTTGACTTCAGCATTTCACTAAATTGACAACTCATTAAGAGTACCCTTGTCTCTGCCATAGTTACTTTGTTGTCTACCATATCCCTTTAAGAGGAAGAAATATATGTTCTAAAAGCCATTCTCTTTTAAGCAGAAAATTTATAATTCTAGAAGGATGATTTTTTAGGTATTTGTTTAGTCTAAGAAAAAATTTTGCCCATAGAACACGTGGTCATTTGTCTTTTGTAAATTAGGCTTATAGTAAAAGTTGGAGAATATAGTCACCCTGGGCCTATTTTACCAGGTTAAATTACACAAGACTGACTAGCTTCTTACAGTGGTAAAATTATGTCTTTTCTGCCAGTCCCCAGATAAGGAATAGAAAAACTTTATCTGTTTTAATACTCTGGCTAATGAGTTGCTGAGAACAAGACCCAACCATGTAGTTATATAGGAGGATAATTTGGAGAAGAATGACTAACCATCCATTTAAAAAATTTTGTTCCCTCTCAGCTGTTAGATACAGAGAAGTAGAAATTATACAATATTTTAATACCTTGTTTTTTCAGGCTTACTCAATTCCAGATACGGCCGAGGATGGGTGGATCACAGAAAAATAGCTGTAAACAGCTTTCGATATTTTGGATATGGCCAAAAGTCTTTTGAATCTAAAATCTTAGAAGAAACCAAATTTTTCATTGATGCTATTGAAACATACAAAGGTAGACCTTTTGACTTTAAACAATTAATAACAAATGCTGTTTCAAACATAACCAATCTGATTATTTTTGGAGAACGATTCACTTACGAAGACACTGATTTTCAGCACATGATTGAGTTATTTAGTGAAAATGTGGAACTAGCTGCCAGTGCCTCAGTCTTCTTGTATAACGCCTTTCCATGGATTGGCATCCTACCTTTTGGAAAACATCAACAGCTCTTTAGAAATGCAGCTGTGGTCTATAATTTTCTCTCCAGACTTATTGAAAAAGCTTCAGTCAGCAGAAAGCCTCAGTTACCTCAGCATTTTGTTGATGCTTATTTAGATGAGATGGATCAAGGTAAAAATGACCCATTGTCTACTTTCTCCAAAGAAAACCTAATTTTCTCAGTGGGTGAACTCATCATTGCTGGAACGGAAACTACAACCAATGTGCTTCGGTGGGCAATTCTTTTCATGGCCCTTTATCCTAATATTCAAGGTGAGGATTCTCTTGATAATCTCAGGGTCTGTCCTTACATGTAAGGTTCATATATGTTTTTGAGTCTTGGCCATGCACAATACGTTTTCTTTAGGAACTCCTGCTGTGCCAGCCAAGGGTAGAAATATGTAATATTTACAAAAAAGTTTTCAAATCTATTATCTCAATTCATGTAAAAAAAAAAATCTCTGAAATAGGTCTTATTATGCCTATTTTATAAATGAGGAAAAAGGCTGAGTATCTGCAAGTGGTGGAGCTGGAACCTGAACTCTGATTTTTTTTAATTAAAAAATTAATTTTATGCTCTACTGTTTTTCTTACTGAGAGTGATGTTACTCTAATTCTAGATTTATTTAATGTTTATTCTTATTACTTCTAATATGTTTTGCACAGTCAGCTACCCAGAGCACTGGCTACTATTAGCATATATTTCAGTGGAACTCCCAGATAATAAAAAATCTGAATCTGGGTATATCTATATCCTATTGTCTGTTATAGGTTATCCTTTATTTTATTCCAAAGGGAAATAACTTTAGCTGTAATTCTAAGAATTGCATAATAACTCGAATACTTTTTCTCTGACAGGACAAGTTCAGAAAGAGATTGATTTAATTATGGGCCCCAGTGGGAAGCCTTCTTGGGACGACAAATGCAAAATGCCTTATACTGAGGCAGTTTTGCATGAAGTTTTAAGATTCTGTAACATAGTTCCATTAGGGATTTTCCATGCAACCTCTGAAGATACAGTTGTACGTGGTTATTCCATTCCTAAAGGTACAACAGTAATTACAAATCTTTATTCCGTACACTTTGATGAAAAGTACTGGAGAGAACCAGAAGTATTCCATCCTGAGCGATTTCTGGACAACAGTGGATATTTTGCCAAGAAGGAAGCTTTGATTCCTTTTTCCCTAGGTAAGCAAACTTTCACAGGGGCATAACTTTAGAATAAAGGATAATAGTAGTTCATTAGATATAGCATCTTAATCTGAAGCATCCTGCTATAGAATTAAATATTCTAAATCTAAAAACATAGCACTGAACAGGAGAGAATGATTTAATTGGAAGTAATTAACACCTGCTTTTGCTTAAAATAAGCCATAATTTATTAACAAGAGATAAACTTTTGAGAACTCCTGGCTTCTTCTAAAACTCTTTTTGCCTGTGGCTCTTTGGCTTATAGTCAAAACTTGTGAACTGAGAAGTCAGTGACAGGTAGGTTGAGAAACTGAGACCCAGAGAGGGAAAAAACACAGTCACTTAAGTAAAACTAGAATCTCACTCTCTTGGCTTCTGGTTATTGTACCTCCTCTTCAACTAGGAAAATATTGCTTCTTCTGTGAAAAGGTACACAAAACCCATGGAACTCTTCCCCTTCAATGGTGAAGACGACACAATTAGTTGAAATGAAGTGGTCTTTTCTTGAGCAAAATATCTCACCTCAAATTAGATTTTTCATGGCGTATTTTAGGCTTTGCTGTACAATACAAGGGAAGTGGGAGTTGGAACTAAAGTCTTACAAAAGTCCGTTGTCTGACAAAAGGAAGTAAAGGAATGGGTTCTGGGAGCTGAACTGTCAATTTCTATTATTTGAGATTTAAGAAAATCCTTCAATAAACATAATTCCCTTTCACTTTCTTTAAATTCCAGATTTTCTGAATGACACCCAAATATTAGACATTAATTTTGGTAAATATTGGAGGTTTAAAAAATTATTATATCTGCTTTTTCTGTTTAGGGAGAAGACATTGTCTTGGAGAACAGTTGGCTCGGATGGAAATGTTTTTGTTTTTTACAGCATTGCTTCAGAGGTTTCATTTGCATTTTCCACATGAACTAGTTCCAAATCTGAAGCCCAGGTTAGGCATGACGTTGCAGCCCCAACCATACCTCATCTGTGCTGAAAGACGCTGAAAGTGCCTGGATGTTTTAGGGAACAAGGTTGTATATTGCCTTATGCCTGAACTTTGTTTAATTTAATCAATGTGTGTATTAGAATAAAAGTTACAGCATTATAAAGCCAAATGAACACAGATGTGTCTTAAAATAGTATGAGAGCAGTAACAAGCATTAGCTGTGATTGTTTTCAAGATTTTATAACTTCTGGGGTAAGATTCTCTGTTGAGAGACACAAAGGTGCAAATAATGGGTGTTGCTTAAAATGCTAAGAAGGGTCAGGGACACCCTAAGCAGAGCATCTTGTTTAGTACCTGGTACTTCTCATCTCTTTTTGACTCCATCTGGCTCTGTCCTGGGAAGCCTTGGTTCCAGAAACCAGCTCCCTTCTGATCAGGTATTGTCATTAATGAACTCTATGGTACCAGTCCAGTTTAATAGAATACTACAGAAGAAATTAAAACCCAAATAAATGAGTTTGGATTATAGAGGTATTTTAGATATGGTGACAGATGGTAGAAGAAATATGTATTTAATGTAGAGCCTGCCAGTGCTTTGAAATCTTGCTTCCTGCTCT